GGTAAATTCCTGTTCCTGAAGACACCACACACTTTGGATACAGGACCCAGAGGATCTGAGCTAGATCTAATCTGAAAGCCTCCTCCCTGAAAACTAGCCTTCATGGTTCCAGAAGGCATCATGTAAGCTTCCAAGAGTGGTGTACTGTCTGGTTTTGCATGTCAACTTGGCACAAGCTAGAGTCATCAGAGAGGAAGGAGCCTTAGTTGAGGAAATGCCTCCATGAGACCCAGCTATAAAGAATTTTCTCAATTAGTGATCAATGGAGGAGGGCCCAGCCAATGGTGGGTGGTGCCATCCCTGGGTTGGCGGTCCCCGGTTCTATAACAAAGCAGGCTGAGCCAGCCATGGAAAGCAAGCCAGTCATCAGCACCCCTCCTTGGCCTCTGCATCAGCTCCTGCCTCCAGGATCCTGCCCAGTTTGAGTTCCTGTCCTGACTTCCTTCAGTGATGAACATCAGTTTGGAAGTGTAAGGCAAATAAACCCTTTCCTCCCCAACTCGCTTTTTGGACATGGTGTTTTGTTGCAGCAACTGGAACCCTAACTAAGAAAATGGTAAGCAATCAATAGTCCTACACAGCCATGATACCTACAAATTTAAAAATGGCAAGCATAGTACAACATTCCTAAGGATGTAATAGTGGCATGCATACCTTGGAGCAACCAACAGCTCTCTAATTGGACTTAAGGCCTCTTCAACAAGAGGAAAATCATACCTGGTACTTGGAAACAGCCAACTACCAGGAGCTGGTGAGGTCATGGATCTTAAAAGAGAACCTGCTGCTGCCACTTTATTAAGCCAAAATAATTCCTAACTACGTTCTAAATCATTATCCTTATACATACAAGTAGGTACCCTCATAAAGAAGTATCTCCTTGCAACAGAGGTCATTACAGAAAACGACACTGATCAAAATGCAGAGGGCATGTGAGTGTGTGGGGCCCAGACCCAACTGAGACATCCACAACACAACCCCTGCTCCTAACACTCAGTATCATAGCAGGGGTCGGGGTGCTGAGACTGTCCAATCCAGAGGAACAGGAAGTTTGCTATGCCATTGTAACTACTAGAAAGGCTAGCGAGGCTACAAACAGGAAGTCTAATTAACACGGCTTCCCAAACAAGACCCGAACAAGGATAATATCAATAGACTGCTAACAGGAGAGGGAGAAATTTCCTGGGGCCTCAACACAAGACAGAGAACTGTAGCCAGCCAAGAAATGCTGGGTGCAGAAGAAAAAGTCTTTTCCAGGGAACCCCCAGATTTTGTTATCCAATACCAAGTGGTCAGCCCTGAAATCTTATGCATACAGGTAACTTCATAATGATTGATCAGGTTGTATTTATGTGTGTGTGTGTGTGTGTGTGTAACAACAAAGAAATAGAAATAGAATTCATGAATTTGAAAAAGAGCAAGAAGGGTACAAGGGAAGGTTGGAGAAAAGAAAGGAAAGGGGGAGGGGGAACAATTGTATTTGTATTTTAGTTTTTAAAATCTGTGTTTGGGTTGGTTGGTTGGTTTTTTTTTTGTTTTTTTTTTTTTTTTTTTTTTTTTTTTTTTTTTTTTTTTTTTTTTTTTTGAGACAGGGTTTCTCTGTGTAGCCCTGTCTGTCCTGGAACTCACTCTGTAGACCAGGCTGGCCTCAAATTCAGAAGTCCATCTGCCTCTGCTTCTCAAGTGCTAGGATTAAAGGCGTGCACCATCACTGCTCAGCTAAATGTATGTATTTAAAAATAAAGTAAGAATCCCTTCCATCAAAAAGAGAACTGATGATAGGCACCTTAACATGGACCTAGAATCCCAGCCAGTGGGGAGGTTGAGGCAGGAGTTTAAGATTAGCCTGGTCAACATTTCATGATTTCTGTCTCGAACAAAAACACAAGACAAAGCAGCACAGATAATTCTGTGATTAGATCTTGCAGGAATTCTTACCGAGGACAGAGGGCTAGAGGGCTGCCCAAGCTGGAACTGAAAAAGAGGCAGCAGTCAATCCTGGTAGCCAGAAAAGAACAGAGGCTTGAGTATTTTTGTTGTTGTTGTTGTTTGTGTTGTGATCTACATTTTGTTTCTGCTTGTTAAAATTGTGAAATATTGTTTTCATTGGTTTTGCTGCGTTGGTTTCGGTTTTATTTTATCCAGAGAACATAGTGATCTTGTCTGGGATTGCTGTTCTGTAAGATTGCTACTGTCCAACAGACCACTCAGGGCTGCCTCTGACACCTTGTATTCTCATCTGACCACCCAGACTGGACTGTAGTGTTAGACTCACTCAGCAGTCTTCTCAAGATAGGTTTTCCTTGAATATTTCATACATAGAGACAATGAGCATGCACACCAGCAGTTCTCAGCCTGTGGGTCATGACCCCCCACAGGGGTTGCATATCAGATACCCTGCATATCAGGTATTTGCTTTACGTTTCATAACAGTAGAAAAATTACAGTTATAATGTGACAACAGAAAGTATTTTATGGTTGATGGTCACCACAACCATTGAAGGGGTCGCAGCATTAGGAAGGTTGAGGACCACTGACAAGACACACAGCTCCCCTCCTCCCTTCAATCCTTCCTGGACTGCCTCAACACATTCCTCTCCCAATGTTGTCTGTCTTCCTTCTCCAACCTCCTCCCCCTTCCTCCTTCTCCTTCCAATAACCCACGGAGTCCAATTAGTGCTGCCGATATGTGGATGAATGTTTGAAAACTCACTGGAGTGTGGTCAACTTGCCGGGGATCACATCCCCGAGAGAAAATGACTCTCAGGAGCATCTCCCCAGCTAAGGAGCAGAGTTTCCTGAGTCCCTCTCCCATTCATGGATTTTTGTTTTGTTTTGTTTTGTTTTTCGAGACAGAGTTTCTCTGTGTAGCTTTGTGCCTTTCCTGGAACTTGCTCTGTAGCCCAGGCTGGCCTCGAACTCATAGAAATCCTCTTGCCTCTGCCTGGCTACAAGTTTTTATACCAATTTAGTATGTCCAGTCTTAACACTGGAGTTTCAAATACGAGGTGATCTTATGAATGTGGTGAAGAAAAAGACATTAAAAACAAGGATACACATCGTTACTTTTTCATCTCAACTGTTATTTCAAAATGTTGTTGCCAAGTCATCTGGAGGGAACCCAGCCTCTTGTGTTCACGACACTGACTCTCCTGTGTTCCTCCGTGGTCCTTTCTCTGGTTACATTCCCCTGTCTTCGTCTACTGTGCTGCCAAGCCAAGCTTTTCCCATTGTGCATCTGCTACTTTTCAAATGTTCCTCCCTGCAAGCCTCTAACTTCTATCAAGCTCTCTGGGATCAGACTTGACTCATGGAACCAAATACTTTTTCATTCAACCTACCACGTTACTGGGAGCCTCCATTGTATAGTCCACAGGCAATAGTGCAGAAGAAAAGTTAGAGAGACATTCCCAAATGTTTTGGGATGGATCTTGGTTGACCCCACTCCCACCCCCAACCCAGTGTTATCTGTTAGGTTTGAGAGTCTCTGAACCTACGGCTGCCAGGGTGGTCCAATCTTCCTTACAGACATAACTGTGACGATCACTCGCTCATGCACACGCTTGTGCCCACAAGTGCATGCCAGCCCAGTTGCCTCTGCCTCCAGAGACACTTGTTTGTTGTTTGTTTTTGAGACAGGGTTGCTCTGTGTAGCCCTGGCTGTCCTGGAACTCACTCTGTAGACCAGGCTGGCCTCGAACTCACAGAGATCTGCCTGCCTCTGCTCCCAAGTGCTGGGATTAAAAGCGTGCACCACCACCGCCTGGCTTTACCTTATCTTTTGAGACAGTCTTTCACTGCACCTGGAACTCACTGATTTGGCTAGGCTGGCCAGCCAATGAGCTGCAGGGAATGTGCCTCATGCCCCTGGAGCCTGGGTTATAGATGAGCACCACCCTGCCCAGCTTTTCCATGCCTGCGGGGCATCCAAATCCAGGCACCCCTGCTTGTGTGGCAAGCACTTTAAGTCTCTCCAGCCCCTAAAAATACCTTTGAGATGGAATTCATAGAACACACAACTCATCCATTTAAATGATACATGTTCATGGCTTTTAGTGCAGTCAGAGATGATATCATCACACTATCCAAAACCCTTCATTGCTCTTCCCTCCAAAAACACTTCATTCCCCTAGAGCAGTGGTTCTCAATTTCCCTAATGCTGCGACCCTTTAATATAGTTCCTCATGTTGTGGTGACCCCCCCCCACCCCCAACCATAACATTATTCCATTGCTACTTCATAACCGTAATTCTGCTACTGTTATGAATTGTAATGTATCTATCTGATATGCGACCCCAAAGGGGTTGTGACCCACAGGTTGAGAACCACTGCCCTAGACTAACGCCCTATCTTTCTCAGCCCAAGGTAAACCACTAATCCACTTTCCATCTCTGTGGACTCACCCAGTCTGAGCATCCTGTATTAATGAATTCATACAACATTTCATATTTTCGATTGGATCTTTTCATTCAGTGTAATTTCAAAGGCTTATTCAATGCGTAGCTTGATTTCTCTCTCCCAAACCCCGTCTCTTTCTTCTGTCTCACGTAGCCCAGGCTGGCCTCAGATTTATTATGTAGCTGACAATGATCCTTCTACCTCCCGCCCCTAAGTGCTGAGATAACAGGCTTCCACTTCTTTTTTAGTGCTGACTAATATTCCATTATATCATATGGGGCTTGGGGTGTTTTTTTGTTTGTTTGTTTGTTTTTGTTTTGTTTTTTTACACAGCCAGAAACAGGATGCTATTGCACTCCCCCCCCTCCGTAGCCAAACAAATTCGGTTTGTCATGTTTCTAGAAAAAGGCGACTGTGAATAAATGTTGGCTGAGTCTCACAAGGATGGCTGTCGTGTTTAGAAAGCTGCTTTTTATGAGTGAGTTTATTCACTCAGCACACTTAGTCTATTTGGTATTTCTGACTCACAAACGGAAGTGATTCTATTTTGGCATCCTCTATCTTTTTCTTGCAGGGTCTCTACTGACTTGCTGCGTTAAATTATGCAAGTTACTTTAGCTCTGTTTATTTAAGTCCTGCATGCCCTGTAAAATAAGCCCCGTCCGGCCTGCTTGTTTGCCAAGGCTGTTTGGAGACAATTTTTCATATGATATGCACCATCAGCTCCCACAGAAGGCAGAAGGAATTTGATGTGTGGGGGTTGTCTGGGATCCAGTCCAAAATTAGTGCTCATCTGGAAGAAATATGGACGCCTGATGCTTTCTTGCTGGTCTTTTATTTGTTTTCGTTTATTGCTTTCCCTCTAAGGAACTTTGCAAATCTTCATCATTTTAGTGTTTTGTTTTGTTTTTTCCTATATAAGGTTGGCTTTCTTTTGTAAAAAGATTGAAATGGGAAAAGCCATCTGATGCTTCTATTAGTTTACTGTGTATCAAAGAGTAATTTGTCTGACCTAGTTTTGTGACCTGGGGAAGGTCTAATATCCAGAATTTGTCCCTCCGCTACCCCTCCCTTCCTCCTCCCCCCCTTTCCCTCTCCTCCTCTCCCAAGACCGGCCTCTCTAGGCCCCAGCTTGGGATGTGAAATCCAACCAGATGGATGATCATCCATGTGCTCGTGCAAGATGCTTTGTGTGATAGGCTGAGAAGGCAGCAAAGAAGAACGCTCGCTGGCTGATGGTCGCAGCAGGGGAAGGTCAGGAAAATGTGTGCATGCCGAGAGCCGCAAAAAACTGGACGTGCTGAAGGCAAAAACAAGGCCAGAGGTCTCTGCTACCTGGGGCGACAGGGACCTTCAGGAGGAGACTTGCGCTGGTCTGAGAGGACAGACAGGACCTTTAAAGGAGGGAGGGGCAGGAAACAGCATGTCATCCTTCCCAGCTGGAGTCTTCAGAACAGGGACGTGGACCACGGTCGCCTGAAGTGTGAAGAGCAGCTGTGTAAACTAAACTTGCACAAGTAGGTGGGGGCTTTGCAGGCTGCACATGGAATTTGTTCTCCACTATTTAAGCATCAGGAAGACAGTAAAGGCCTTTGGCAAATTGCACACCTACTGTAGTCCCTGGGTAGAAAGAGGAAAGGTTGGCAAAAAAAGAGAGAGAGAGAGTTCAGGCCGAGAGACCACACAAGAGCTTGGTACACAGGTACAATCGAGGCAAAGGGAGTGGGAAAGAGGTGACTAAACGCTACAACAGGCCTTGAAGTCTGGGTATGGGGAAGGCAGTGGAAACACCTCTTGGGCCAGACCTCCTTACTCTGAGGGGCACCGGGAGGAGCCAAAGTTATAAACACCTCCTCCAGTGACGACAGGTGGTCGGCTCCGGCCTCCGATTAGCTACTCCGGCCGCCAATCCCGGGGGAGGCGGCGCCGTCCCGGCCGCTCGGGGCTCCGAGTGTGGCCGGCGCGGGCTGGGAGCCGGAGAAGCCGGCGGAGCCGGGTAGCAGGCGAGGCCGGGACGTCGGGCGCCGCCGCAGAGGTAGGCAGGTGGGCAGGGCGCGGGATCCGGTGGCCTCGGGGACCGAGCCCCCGGGGTCCTTTACGCCGGGGACCACGCCGTCCCGGATCGCCGGCGAGGAACGGGGCGGCGGGACCGGCGTTGCGGGACGGGGATGCAACGCAGGACGCCGCCGTGAACCCCGGCTGGGCCTGGGTCCCGAGTCGCCAGCACGAGCCGGCTGGGGGCGGCACTACGTACCCCGGGCTCCTGTGACGTTCTGTTAGAAAAGCCGGGCCCCGGCTTGTGGCACCGCGGGGGGCTTGTGGCACCGCGGGGAGTCGTCGAGCGGGCGCGCTGCGGGGCAGCCCCGCGTCCCCCGCGCATCGTGGGTCCCATCGACGATGCTGTAGGTTCGGCCTGAGCTTCTGGAGAGCGGGGCTGTGAAGCAACATCGGGGACCGAAGTTCTCCAGCTTTCCGTTTTTAACACCTCCACTTGCCTGACCGCCCGACGCCAGTGTCCTAAGGTGACATACCCTGAATCGAAGACACACACACACACACACACACACACACACACACACACACACACCCGCCCCCACCGAGAAGTTGAGACGTTTTGTTTTGTAAAAACGTTCCTGGTGCCGGGCTACCTGCAGGTCACTGGCTTCTTTGTGAAGGCTCCAGTCTTTGCAAGCCTAGATCTCAGGGCTATGCGTGTGTCCCGGAGGAGTGTGCGAGCAAGGAGCAGGCTGTTCTGGGCAGTGCGGAGGACCAGCAGGCGTGGTCCAAGTGGGGTTAGGTGGTGGTAAGGTTCTTTAAACAAGGCGCCCTTCAGTCTAGTTAAGAAAGACAGCTTTACTGCATTAGGGGGGAAACGACACAGCTCACAGCCCCAACTGTTCCTAGAGACTGTGAGGGGTTTACGGGTTTCTCCAAATTTCATCAGCGTGAGCCTAGGTAGTAGTGTCCTTCTTCTTCCATCCCGTCTCTCTCCCTCTCTCCTTCTTTTAACGTCCTCCTCCTTGTTAGGATTTGGAAAAGAAACAGGAAGTCAGCGATTCAGAGAAAAGAGCATTCACTCCGCAACTGTAAACAGTTTATTTTGTCAGTAAATTATTTCCTAAGTCACTGGAGGTCCTTGGAAAACCTCGGCTTTTTCCTGCCCCCTGCAGAGAAGGTAGATCCCCTCAGAATTCAAAACTTAGGACATTTTTAGAAGTGGATTATAGCCCCCAAAGCTGTCCCGTTCTGTCCCCACGGACGATGAAACTTCAGAATTAGCGTTCTTAGCTACTCAGGGTGATACTTTCGTATGACAGCTGCCGTCTACTCAGTCACAGGATTTCAGAGGACACTTGTCTAGACCTTGGGCCATCACAAAACCAGTCTTCAGTTTTGAGTTTCTTTTATTATGACAATTACTGGAGACTGAACATGCCAAATGCATGTTTGATAATAACGCTTTTGTACCTATAACTACTGCAACTAAAGAAAGATGGATGTATTCAACTTTTAATTTTCTTATTTCATTTTCATAGCGAAGTTCTAGGTAAGAGGTATGTACCATACTTTTCCTAGTTGAAGTTAACAGTTCCTTCTCTATTATTTGAGTTGCTGGTGAGATTCCTGGCAGGGATAACTACTCATAATGAATGGTTAAATCAGCAAATGTGGGCTTAGTATATACCCATTCTTTCCTTTGTTTGTGTATGAACCTTTTAATTGAGATACAATTCACAAACCGTAAAATTGACCCTTTGAAAGTGTATAGCTCAGGAGATTTGGGTATATTTGCAAAGTTGTGCATCACCACCACCTAATTCTAGAATATTTTCTTCAACCCCACCCCCCTAAAAAACTCTAGACCTTTTAGTAGTCGGTCTCCATTGTCATCCCCTTGGCAACCTTTGACCTGTTTTCTGTCCTTTTGATTTATCTGTTCTGGACATTTCACAGGACATGTGACCTGGAGTTGTAGACCGTAGGATAACTTTAAACATACGAGGAACTGTTTGCCTATTTACAAAGCAGGTACGACATTTTTGTAGTACCAGCGATATGCATGAGTTCCAATGACTGCACAGTTTCATCAGTTCTTATTAATCCACATTCTCTTCCTCCCTC